CCTCAGGGAACCGGCGGCCCCGCGAGCGCTGAGGGGCCCAAAGTCCGAAGGCGTTGAAGCGTCGATCAGAGGCGCTTTATATTTTGTTCTCCTTGCCTTACTGAGTGCCGCCCGGAGCCGCCGCATCTCCTCGGGGCTCATGGTGGACTTTCGCTGGCCGAAAGGCCGAGCTTGCCCTCTCTCAGGGCCGGGAGCGGTGCAGATCCGCCCCGCAGAGCCGTTGGCTCTGGTTCCCCGGCGCGCCTGCTGATACCTTGCCCAGCTCCGCGGGCAGAAGCGACTGTGCGTGGCCGAAGTTACTTTGGTAAAGTGTTCTTTGTAGTGTTTTACTGCTCACAAAGGCACCTGTGCTATGCGCCTCTGATTTTTCTTGTTTATATTCTTATGCTTGAACTAGCTAAGTACAGATAACTGTGCTATAGCAATAACTGTGATGCTTTTAGCTCCGTTTTATAGTGCAGAAAAATAATTTGAAGCTGAAAACTTCAGCTTCAAATCGTCTCTGCATTAGGACCTCAGGAGACTCCAGTAGGAATTGCCCATTGCTGAGAAACAGGAGTGAAACTGGTTTGTTAGCTCCTGGACACCAAGTCCCATCACTAAGTAGCCTCCTTAAGCAAGGAAAGGGTGGTTATATTTCTATGTTACATTTTTAAAAATTGCTTTTAAACGAGAATATTGTGGGAGATGTTAGGGTTATGTTCTTCTATTGTGGAACTCCTCACAGAAAAGGAGTTTTGAACAGGCCATCTGTGTGAATGTAGTAGCTGGAGCAGAGTGCCAGCAATGGAAATCTGGATGTCAGAGAAATTACTTTGTGAAAAGGTATCAGAAATTGCATTGTTTTGGAAAATGAAAGCCTTCAGACCTGAATACTGTCAGCGCTGTGTCTTTATCAGGGTGAAACTACCCCCCCCCACACACATTATAAACGCATTATAAACTCGTTCATAGCATTAATTTGTAGCAGATTCTGCTTGCAATATATTTAATTGATTTACAATTTATTGACCTGGTCTGTGGTATGTGCTCAATGACAGTAATGTTGTGTGCGTGACTTTTCAGTTGGTCAAGTTTTGCTTATGTCGATAATTTTTTGACCTTGATGTGAGATGCCTACAACAGTCTGTTGCTGGTACTTGTTGAAAAACATGTTCACATATTTGAATTTTTAGTATGTCTGACTCAGCACGTGCACATGCTGTTGGCTTGTGGCTCCTGACACAGATTGTTTCTTTTTTTGAAGTCGTAGGACCTGAATTATTGTTAAGAACCTATTGTCCTGTCATTCCAGCAAGGAACAGGAAAGCATAAGTGATATGATAGAGTTGGCTGAGGAAATAAGACTTAGCACACTGGTAGTGTGCTGTTCTCTAGTTGGATGTACCTGTTGCAAAGATATTTGAAGCAAAAAGAAGTAGCTTTGCATGTGTTTACAGGAGCCTAACAAGGGAGCAGAGGGAGAAATCTAGAGTGTGTTTGCTTGAAAATTGAATGAGTGAGCACATTTAGAATTTTGATGATGGAGCTGTTGTGGGGTGACGAGGTGAAAACAACTGCTTAGAAAAATTATTGTTCCAGCCAGAACCTTGATGATTATCAGTGGACAGCATACTCCTGTGTTGGTGTTCTAAACAGATTAAATGTGAGCACACGTGCGATACTGTTCTGCTTGCTTTTTGTTTTTAGTTGACCATGCTCTTGCTCGTTTAATAACTGCATACGCTGAACATGGCCACAAAGCAGCCAAAATAAACCCACTGTTTGCTGGCCAAGCTGTTATGAACATGGTACCCGAAATCCAAGAGTTGGCTGAAGTTCTTCAAGGGCCTTTCATTACTACAGGTAAGTCTGCAGCCTTATCACGGCAAATTCTCTTCATGGGTGATTTACTGAGAGGCTGTGGCCTCTGTGGAAGAGCCAAATATTGAGTGGTGGTTCAATCAGTAATGAACTGTTGGACGGAAAATTGTTAACTTCAGCCTACTTATATGCCTGTTGCAGAAATCATCATGTAATGAGTGGCTACCTTCTAGCATCTTTGGAAACCATGACAATTTTTACTTGTTCTTACAACTACTGAGGTTATACATTAATTTCTTGTGTTGCTGTAACATTCTATGATTTAGCATAATACTTAACACTGTAGTGAAGCTACAGAGCACTGGGGCAGAAGTCAAGACTTGTTGTTTCTTGGATCTCGTAGACTCTAGCTGTAGCCTTGAACAAAGGAGAGTCTGTCTCTCTGCTTTGTTTTCTCCATCTGCCAAACAGGTGCTTATCTACTTGTGATGCAGCTGGAATTGGAGCTCATTTCTCTGAGCCACAAGATACCGAGTGCTATACTGAGTCACAAAAACAGTGACTTTGTGTAATTCATGGTAAACTCTTTCAGAAAGGCATTTTGAGCACCTTACAAATAAGCATGAGACCCTCATATTAATAACACTGAAGTGTGCTTATAAAAAATGTTCTTCAGTTTTGTCTTTGAATGGAGGAAAGGAAGACGACATTAATTTGTATGCTCAAAATGTTAATGTAATTGCAAGACAACAGTTTAGGTCTTAGTGCTTCCCCTTCCTCCCCCAAAGTGGCTACTAACATTTATTTCCCACCAGGGCTTCTAAACATGGGAAAAGAAGAAGCTTCCCTAGAGGATGTGTTGACTTACCTTGACCATATATACTGCGGGCATATTTCCATAGAAACAAGCCAGCTTCCAACTTTGGAGGAGAGAGAATGGTTTGCTAAAAGGTTTGAAGAACTAAAACAAGAAGCATTTACACCTGAAGAGAAAAAGCACTTGTGCAAACTGATGTTGGAATCCCAGGTACCTTGTTCATTGTAGACTCACTAATAGAGTCGTGGAATCTGTCATGAACCCTTTACTGCTCCAGACATTATTCATGCAGAAAAAGAAGAATCACTATCCTGAAAAGCTTTGACAGTGCACAAGAGGAGGAAGTACAAAGTTTTGCCTGAAAAAGTGCAATACACAAATGCAAGAATCTCATTGGAGGTTTTTGCTGAATTTACTTAGCAGCCATTATTGAAACAAATAGCAATACGTTTTGGTTTGTATTGATTATTTTGGAAATAATTTCTAGGAAAATATTTCCAGCTAGTTCCAAACTCAAAAGGTTTTTAGAACTAATTAGAACATATATTGTGTGTAATTTGTATTCTTGCAACATACATTCTTTATCATCTGGAGACACAAATAATGACCCTACAAACCCATGAGTTATCAGTCTTCAGAAGTGAGATTCTCTTAGGCAAATGATCTGACAGCTTATATTAAGTGCTACTGATGGGAACGCAAGGTTGGGTAGAGCTGTATGAAAATTTTGTGCTCTGGTGTAGCTGTTCTGTGTTTTCTTTTCACCCTCATGCTGATCTGTTTTACTAGCTTTAAAGTATGATGTCTCTCAAGGTTTTGGGAGAACAAAACGTAGTTGAAGTGAGGTGTTAGCCACATAGCACTGGTAAATTTGCTGCTTTTCAGCAAAGGAACCTTTGTTGAATGCATTCTTTAAGGACGTGAAAGATTTATGTACTTGCAAAATATATAAAGGAAATTTATTCCAATACTTCTGTACTGTGAAAAATTTTCTTTTTTTTTTTTCCCTTTCTCCCTGTGTTATCCAGAAGGATGGAAAGGTAGAAGAGCAGAATCTGTGAAGTTGTCCCTGTTTCCAGTTTTCCAAGTGGAAGGAGTTAAATGTAATATTTACCAATGACTAAACAGAAGTATATGGCACATTTCATATTTTTCTTGCCTCTTTGGCTGTTAAAGGAACTTGACAGTGACACAGGAGGGTGAAATCAGGACCCTGATAAATTCACTGTTGACTTCAGTATGACCAGAACTATACTGAGAGTATAGAGTTTGACGGGGGGGAAAAGCCTCTATGTGTGATTAGTTTTGTATACATTATTCCTTGGAATTAAATGTTTCTTCAGTAGAAGGTGTTCAGCAGTTGGCTCACATCTTTTGCTGTGGCTCAGCCTTCCCTTTTCAGTTACAGAATTCGTTTATTTTCAGTCTTCTGTTGCAAAACACTACAGACACTTCAGCGCTTCCAAAACTTTTGTCACTTGTGAGAGCTGTCTAGGAGTAAATGAATGGAGTGAAGTGGGAGGAGTGAGAGGAAAATGAAGTAAATACAGATCTATTTATTTTCCTTCTCTCAAGGATTCTCTTACCTATGTACTGAGTACTGGGTCTAATAGTAATCAAAGTGAAACACTGTGCTTCTCTAGCACTTTGCATCTCAGGATAGTTAAAGTTTATACAGTAAAAGAACAGCATTCCTTAATTTCCACCTGAAATAGATAAACTATGAAGGAATTTGTAAATTGCTCTGGTGTTATATTTCTTCGTGCATCTCCTTCCATGTTAGATCAAGAGAGTTTGGTCCTCAATACAGCATTTTTCTGCTTCAGAGGAAATAAGAGCTGATTTCTTGTAGTCATCATAGCTTCTGGTCTTAGACTGTGTAGGTGGAGAATGAGCTGAGACTTTCAAGGGCTGTGCTTACGTTTGTATGCTTAAAGGTACACACATACTGAAATTATATTTCAATTTTATAAACAGAAGACTGCTGCTTAAAATAGCCTAATACTGAAGTTCTCCTGTTTTTAATAGGAGTTTGATCACTTCTTAGCCACAAAGTTTGCCACAGTGAAGCGATATGGTGGTGAAGGAGCAGAGAGTATGATGGGTTTCTTCCATGAGTTGTTCAAGATGTGCGCGTACAGCGGTGTGACAGATATCATTCTTGGAATGCCTCATCGCGGGAGACTTAATCTTCTCACGGGTTTACTTCAGCTGCCACCTGAGGTGAGAGATTTATAATCTCATTGGCAGTTGCTCTATGCCTGGTTTATTTGCAATAAAATCCCAAAATTTGTCATGTTGCAAATGCTGGAGCAATAAAAAAAGTCAGCTGTGTGAGGGTATTTTCCCCTCCTGTCAGCCAAATGTCTGCAGGAGATTGTTAAAATAACTCTAATGAAGGGATTTATGTGCTGTTATCAGAAGCATCCTTGCAATTTCAGAAGTAGGAGAGCATACAGTTCTGCACGTTTTTCTTTCAATGTGTCAGTGAATTGCAAAGACGATTTAACCAAATTTGTTTCCATGCAGCTCATGTTCCGTAAGATGCGTGGTTTGAGTGAGTTTCCAGAGAATTCAGCTGCCACTGGGGATGTTCTCTCCCACTTGACATCTTCTGTAGATCTCGACTTCGGTTCCCACAGGCCGGTGCATGTCACCTTGCTACCTAACCCCTCGCACTTAGAAGCAATCAATCCAGTAGCTGTGGGCAAGACACGAGGAAGGCAACAGACCCTGCTCGATGGAGATTACTCCCCAGACAGCTCCGCACAGCCTGGAGACAAAGTAATTTGCCTGCAGGTAGTTTGCTTATGATTTGTAACTGATCTTTGTAAGACTGCCTGGATTAGCGTGTGAACAGAACTGGTGTATACAGAAATACCAAACAAAACTGAATTAATGTAGAATATCAAGAACTGGGATCCTTTTTATGGAGAAAGAGGAGGGCAAGGAAGATTTCCAGGTGACATAAGTGATGATGCTCGCGTTTGAACAATTCCACTTCTAACATTTCTGAAGAATTGATTCTGACACCTTCCCTTATTTAAATAATAGTCTGGATTGAGAGCCATGTGTGCCTGTCCTCACAGACCACTTTTGCATTTAAACCACCACTGTTAGCCTTCTTTTAAATTAAATGGGTTTGGAGAACAGCTGTCACCAAGGTTGCAAAATATAAAGGAGGATTTAGAATTTTGTTATTTTATCATGGTACTGTTGAAGAGTCTGCTGGAATTGGTTTTTATTCCTTGAACTGTCTTTTATAGCTGTGGAGGCAGTCCTAAATAGTTCCTTGATAAATTTTCTTTTCTTGCATTGTATTCTACTTGGAAATACAAGTGAGTTGATCTCTTAAACATTTTTAAAACTGAGAGTAAAAATGAGTTGGGGCAGAACTGTTCTCCTGTGAAGTATAATAAACAGTAGAAGTGAAAACGTATTTCAGTTAAATAAATGTTTTGCTTCCTTCTGGAAGGATGTGGATTCTGAGAAAAAGCACGAAGGAGAATATGAAATACTGAGAAAACTGGAGGCAAGTTAGGGTTCTTTTTTTTTGTATTTAGGAAAAAAAAAGGCTCTGGGGCATGCAAGTGCAGGAAGACAAGTTTGTTATTTGATGCGTCTTCTCATCTTTCAGTGCAGTTATGTCAGTTAGTTTCATGAGATATTATTGCTTCTTGGATTCTGTCTCATAATGTTAGATCTTCACTGTGTAGTAATGAAACTACAATGACTCTTTAAACAAAGATTCTTCAGGATAAATGGACCCTCCCTATGCAAGAAAAAAATGAACTTCTTTTGGTTTTTTGAAGGGGTAAGTGGTAGGGAGGGTTGCATAGTAGAGAAGAACAGCATTTAATTCCGAACTAGCCACCTCCATGTTAGTAAACTGACTCAAAATATTCCCAAAAGAAAGAAAACATTTCATGTAATGTGAACATCAGTAGTCATGAAGAGGTCCAAGAGTTAGATTAAAAAAAAAAAAAAAAAAAAAAAAGGCATATTTTTACAGTTGTGACTGTTAACTGCTCTCATTCAGCTAATTGAGAAGAAAGAGATGAAAGCAGATACTTCCTCTTTCAGAATCTTGGTTTGGAAGTTTCTTTTCATAGAATCATAGAATGGTTTGGGTTGGAAGGGACCTCAAAGCCCATCTAGTTCCAACCCCCCTGCCATGGGCAGGGACACCCTCTACTAGACCACGTTGCCCAAAGCCTCATCCAACCTGGTCTTAAACGCTTCTAGGGATGGGGCATCCACAACCTCTCTGGGAAACCTGTGCCAGTGCCTCACTTGGGCTTTCTGTTTTCATAGTGCTTTCTCTCCTCAAATATAAGTGTGGAAACTCTGAACTGAGGTTGCCTCTGGCATTTGTTCTATTGTTCCACTGGCCTGACTACCAGAGCTTGAGGGTAAAAAGAGTAAAGATCAGGTAAGGTACCCATATCAGTGGTAAACCTAGTTGTCCAAGGTCTGAAGATCATCTTTTCTTTTAGAACTTCAGTGTGCTTGGAATATATGAAGACTATAAAACTCTTCCTTGGATAACTACCATGGGCACTTCTCCAATGTTTAATTGTCCATCTCTGCTGAAGAGTGGTTTATTTTTCACCTTCTCACATACTTTAACTCCACTTCCTGGACATCAGGCAACTACTGGTATTGATAATTTGATCTGAAATCTGAGAATAAGGTCTCCCTAAAATAAATTTCACATTTGAGGTTTCACTGTCGGGGTCACTGTTTGATGAATTCAACTTGATGGTAGTAACCTTGCTTTTATGTTCTTTGCTAAATGCTGCCCAGAAAAAAACATGTACTATCAAAAACTGTTTCCAGCTTTCTGCTAGAATGAGAAAAATCCCACCTGCCCCACAGGAACTGAATCCTCTGGTGTTGAGATAAATATGTAGAGTCTTGTGTAGTTGGATAGTCACACTGTCCGTAGGCTTTAAATGCTTTGGGATGTACTGAAGGCCATAAAGTTCTTTCAGATATTCTAGGGTCTTCACTCAAATGGTATCACCGAGATACATAGCCTTCTTAGGCAGCAGAAGAAACCAGAAGGGAAAAGTGAAACCCCAACACTTCAGGAACAAGTGTAGCATGGTAAGGGATAGAGTGGAGATGCTGTGTTGGCTCTCTCTTGCAGTAGTTAACTTTGGTTTTCTGTGATGCCTTTTAAAAAAGTCTCTGTGTTAGAACTATCTAAAACCCAGTGCTGCTGTTTCACTGGTTGATTACACCTCTACTCTTTTCCAGGTGTACTTGCACCTCCAAAAGTCTCTTAAGGCTTGAAACCATTATCCCATAACTAGAAAGTAGAACGGCCATCTGGTTTTAATAAGAAACTACATCAATCTACGTAGTGACTTAGATCTGCAAAGGATTGAATCTGTATTCTGAGGAAGGTGTGATCATATTCATCAATGGAGAACTCTCTCTAGTTTCAAAACATTGAAATGTTAGATGATACTTATTCTCGTATCTCTGGCCCTGGGTTGGATATCGCAGTAGTCTTCCCTTCCAAACCCTTTTTTTATTTGCAACATTTATTTGCAATTTTGAAATGTAACTAAGAACTTAGGTTTTATTTCCTTCTGAAAGCTTTTATTTGCTTTTTAAGTGCTTCCATTCAGTTCCCTTTCCACATTTTTCCTGTTGTCTCTGTTTTTGTCCCTACTTGGTAAGGTGGGAGTAGGCTTAAGTCCGAGTTCACAGCATTTACCTTTCAGCAAAGCATGTAGCGAATGCTGTGGTGACTGGCTTTCTTTTGTTCTGGGGTCAGTGACTTGCCATCACCTGTACACTGGTGGGTCAATTTTAAGAGATTATAGGTCAGTTCCAGGTAGGGATTACATCAGGCTGTTATGTACAGATGTTGGCTGCTGTCACCTTGTGTTAGTGATAAGACTCTCAAATCATGAAAACAGTAGTCTGAAAGGGGTTAAGAAGTGGATCTGGCTGAAACTGTTCTACCTACTCAATTTAAAGAGCCTTGCATAATGAGTTATGGTTTTGATTTTGCTGTTCCTCCAGTGTTTTCTAATGAGATTTTTCCATCTTCTTCCCTAATGTAGGTTCATGGCGATGCTGCTTTCTCTGGGCAAGGGATTGTTCCTGAAACACTGACCCTCTCTAATCTACCACATTTCAGAGTTGGTGGGAGCATCCATTTGATTGTTAATAACCAGCTGGGCTATACCACTCCTCCAGAGCGAGGAAGATCATCTCTCTACTGTAGTGATATTGGTATGTATAGTTGACTCAGAAGGAAGATTGCCTGTTGTGTCAGAAAAGATCCAGTGTGAATATATCCTGTGCTGTGGGCTTTTTATAGTAAGTGCCTGTCAACGCTAGAGGGTAAGATTAATACATCTATTTTCATGATAGAGTAGAAATTTAAATTATTATTGATTATTACCTCCTACTAGCAAAAATGCAAGTGCTAAAAATACACCCTCCCCATCTGCTTTATGGCAAAGACTAAATATCAAGGGAAAATCTTGTCGCATTTTTTATAGGATGTTATAAAATATTTGCAAGATTACTGTGAAGTCTTTATAACTCGTTTAATTCCTGGCATGTCATTGACAGCTTTTAAAAATGTATTGTGGTGGAGTGTATAATAGATGTATCTTAAATATAGCTTGATGATGCAGGAACTGTGTATAGAAAGTCCTCTGGGAATTTAGTGCTGGTAAAGAAGTTGTGCTCAAACTGTGACGAATACAACAGGTTGGGCTAATTGCACTTTCTCTGAGGGAAGACTCCTTATTCAAGCTCTCATCAGAAAGAGCGTGTTTTGTAGAGTTGTTTTTGTTAAATAAACTTCACATGAGTTGTCTGTAGTTTTCAGCAGAGTAGGTGTGTGTCCGCTTTCTTTGGGAGGAGTTGGGTGTGATTACTGTTGTTATGTTTTGAATCCCTGGACAGGTAAAATTGTTGGAAGTGCAGTTATCCATGTGAACGGGGATGATCCTGAAGAAGTTGTCCGTGCCACACGACTGGCTGTCGAGTACCAACGCCAGTTCCGCCGGGATGTAATAGTAGACTTGCTGTGCTACAGACAGTGGGGCCACAATGAACTTGATGAGCCATTCTTCACCAACCCCAGCATGTACAAAATCATCAGGTAAGGGTAACACCACCTGATAGGGGAACCCAAAATGTACTCGTGTCTACACCAACCCAGTATTGTCTGCCACTCTACTCAAGGTCTCTGTGTAATGAAGATCCTTTGCCATACCGACACCATCAGCAGCCCTTGACTAAGGTGTGAGTCTGATAATGATGTGTTAGTGAAGGTAACCATTGGTGTTGGTTCCTGAATATGCGGTTTGATGCCTCTTGGAGAAGAATCTTGCACATAGCCCTTGGATTTCAAATTCATGATGGCTAGTAATCAGAAAGCAATGTTGTCTTCTATGTGCCAGAGGGAAGCATAGATAATATGGGAGAATGGGCAGGAAGCCGGTATGACATTTGTCTTATCTTTGCCTAGACCTGCTGGTTCCGATGGGGACTCATTTTTAAGAGCATTTAAAGGTATTGGGATTCCATCCTTATCTCCAAAGAAAAATACACACAAAAATTTCCTGGCCAATGAATTCTGGTATTTTAGGTGAAGCATTTATAGAATGGATGGCTTGATTTAATAGTAAAATCCTACTGTCAATTTGTCTGAAGAAAATATGCACAATAGCACAGATTCAGTCTAACTGGGAGGGGTTTTTTACTTGCTTTTGCCTGTAACTGCCAGCTGTAGGCACTTTTTTCCTAAAAATAAAGGACTGTAAAGCACATATCCAAGAGAATTGCTATCTCTCTGGAAATGCCAGGAAAGCAAACTTAATACAAACGAGTATAATGCACCAGGACATGATTTATTTTAGTTTTCCATGGTACCTGACAGTAGTAAGGTGGTATTTCCATGTTCTGTGGTGACATTGTTTTCGGGTTTAATGTCTATGGGGTTTGATTCCCTCCCTAACAGATCCCGTAAGAGTATCCCTGACACTTATGCAGAACATCTAATAGCTGCTGGGCTCATGACTGAGGTTGAAGTATCTGAGATAAAGACAACATACTATTCTAAACTGAATGATCATCTTGCCAACATGACTTTGTATAGTCCACCTCCTACCAACCTGCAGGCTCACTGGAAAGGCTTTGTTGAGCCTTCTGCTAAAATCACCACTTGGGACACAGGTATGCCTGTACCACTTCTGCAGTTTATTGGAGTCAAGTCTGTAGAGGTGCCTGAAGAGCTCCAGATACACAGCCACCTTCTGAAGACCTATGCACAGGTCAGTAGAGCATAATGATGCTTCTAGTCCCATTGCTCAAAGATACGACCTGTTACAGGAAAAACTCAAACGCAGCGAGGCTGCCAGTTAAAGGATGGCAAAGTATTCTCTAAGGAAAACAGCTTGCTCTCCTTTTTGAGGCTGAGATTATGCCATTTTTCTTCCAGTTCTGAAGAAAGGCATGTCCTCTCCCCCAAATCTAACCATATACTTAATTTTGTTATTTCAACAATATTTCGTTGCAATGAAGAAAAATACTTATAGAAAACACAGTTTAATATTCTTACAAATAACAGGCACTATTATGATAAATTACTATTATATGCTTTAAGATTATAATGAGTACTTTATGAGAGAATGAATCAAGAACTTGGTAATAGTGTACACAGTTTCTAAAGCCAGTAGTGAGTGTTTATGGGTTTTTTTTATATAAACATAAGCAGACACATGTGGCCAAGTTTGACAGACAGTTTTTGATAGCTCATAAGTTTGTGTGCAATAGTTGTATTGGTTTGAGTTTGTGAACGTTTCCCGCTGAATGATGACCTGCGCTGGTGTCTGGTTGGCAGCCATAGAGAGGCCATGAGTTGAATATTTCAGAAGACTGATGTTCTTGTCTTCCCAGCCCAAGACAAGAACACCACAGCTGGGAATGATAATTTTTCTGCAGTTCTGCAGGCCAGAACAGGGGGAAGTCTGGAGACTGAAATACTTATGCCTGGTATCTTTCATCGCTGCTAACCAGACAAACCAAAAGTCTGTCAAGAGTATGTTCTGTGCTGTGCTAAGATTTTTAATATTTTCAGACTCAGATCTAATTTGTCGGTCCACAGTTTGTTGACACGTGGGTCATCCATGATTCTGTGGTCCTCAGGGCAACCTTGTTCAGGGTGTGCTGAAATAAGACTGTGAATTCCAAACCAAGCTAAGCTGGCTGCCGGAATATAGCATTTCTCTCCATAGTGTTTTATTTTTTTCCTAGCTTCTAATATTGATCTGTGCTACCAAAAGAGCTAGAGATGGAAAAAGGCAAAATAGTAACTTTTCCTTGTTGTTTACTTGTTTAGTCAAGAGTTCAAAAAATGGAGGAAGGAAAAAAGCTGGACTGGGCAACAGCTGAAACTTTAGCATTTGGTTCTCTGCTAAGCCAAGGTAAGAGGCAACTAGACAGCAGACAATAAAATGTTTTTGCTTTGATGACAATAAAGTATAACATTAGACTTCTGAGGTGTTTCTAAGTCTAATGATTGATATGATGTATACATGTGACAACTTGCATTTGCATGGTACTAAGAGAAGGTAAATATGTATCCTGTATGTCACCAATATTTGTAGATTGAGTACTAAATGTCTTCAAAGAATTGTTGCTCACTTCCACTCCCCAAAAACATTCCTGCATAGAGCTGGACATGCAGCTGACATCAGTGGGGCCTCCCAAATACTTTTAGAATGTGTTTCATGCTACTAATTCTTTTCCCTCCTCTCTAGCCTGAATTGCTATCTCCATTTACATATGATATAGATCGCACATTTTTTGTAGTTTGCTTCGGTAAACTGAACTATTTATCACAAAATAGTTCTTGGCTGCAGAGAGGAGAAAAGAGAAATGTCTGAGCATCTCTGTGCTTGTGAGTTGGAGCTGCTGCTAGTTAAGAATTCCATCTCAGATTTGATGTTGCTGATGAGGCGAAATCCAAGAAGAGACTTAACAAAATAAGTTAAGGTTTTAGAAGTGGAGAGTTGTTGTCCTGTATGTTTTCTTTTTACATGACTTGCTCATCCAGTGTTTTGTTTCTTGCTTGCAAGGGTTTAATATCAGACTAAGTGGACAAGATGTTGGCAGAGGAACCTTTAGCCAGCGACACGCGATGTTGGTTTGCCAAGAGACAGATGATACTTACATTCCTCTGAATCATATGTCCCCAGACCAGAAAGGTTTCCTAGAGGTAGGTTCTGTGCTTCACAAGACAACCTTTTTCAAGTTGTGCTGAAACAGAATGCGTATTTTAGAGCTGCTGAGACATATGTAGGTAGCTTGTATATTCTGACAAACTCCAGATACAGAGACATAAAACCTGTCAGGGCACCCCCATTCCTTGTTGTTACTCTCTTGACAAATTTGACAAGGGGTTTTGCTTTTCTGTGAGAGATCAGCTACTATTCTTTTTCCCGTCTGCATTCAAAAGCAAAAAAAAGAGAGGTGACTATCAATTGCCTTTAGGAGTGTGTGTCCTCAGCGTGCCTAGCACTGATGTGCCTGGTTCCAAAGGTTCTTAACCCTGGGCTGTCTTCTTTCTCACCCACCCCTCCCAACAATTTCCTTTTGTTAGGTGAGTAACAGTCCCTTGTCTGAAGAAGCTGTGCTTGGTTTTGAATATGGAATGAGTATCGAGAGCCCTAAGTTACTGCCAATTTGGGAAGCTCAATTTGGAGACTTCTTTAATGGAGCCCAGATAATATTTGACACTTTCATCTCTGGAGGTGAGTGTACAAGGAGCTAATATATTTAAAAATGAATCATTTGTACTGTGGTGGGTTGACCCTGGCTGAGG